GCTTTTGTACTTCTCGAATAAGTTTGTTTGGCCGCTGAAATACATACATCCAATATTATGCAATGCTAGCTAGGACAACAATTATAAGCAGCATTCTCCCAACATAGGATAACAACCTAGGTTGCCACCCTTTAATCCTCTTTGTAATCCTTTGCACTAACAACTTACAGTCTGCCACACACCGCTTACCTACCACCAGAGGCCCCCCAAGATATTTGATTGGCACTAATCCTTACTTGAATGCAAAAACTTTCACAATCTATTCCTCCTCATCACCTTCCACATCACCCTTGGCGAATATTAATAGATTATCAACAAAAGTTAAAGTGTAAGTCCTACCATGGCACACTATGAGTGATAGGGAATATATTTTCTCTCTACTGCTCTATTCATCATGCAGGATAAAAGCTCCATTGCAATATCAAATATTTAGGATGAGATATGATCACCCTCCCTAAGTCCTTTTTTAGCTCGAAATTTGCCAAGTAACCCTCCACTAAATAAGACTGAGAAAGAAGCAGAAGCCGTACATTTTTTAATCCATGAAACAAATTGCAAAGGGAATCCCATAGCTCTCATTACAACTCCCAAATAACTCGAATGTAAACTATCAAATGCCTTCATGATATATATTTTCATAGCACATCTAGGTGAAACAGATTTCCTATTATATTGTTGTATTAGTTCAAGAGCTTGGATAATATCGTCACTAACTAATCTCCCTTTGAAAAATGTTGAATGGTTCTTACTTATAACAAGTGACAGTACTTCCATTAGTCTAACAACTAACACCTTAGATATGCATTTATATATAACATTGCAAAATTATAGAAGCATGAATATTTTCATTGAGTCAGCTTGTTGTGCCTTAGGAATTAGTGTCAGAATGGTTCTATTGACCTTCTTTCGCATCTTACCATTATGGAAAAGTTCTTGAATGCCTGCAACCACTTGATGGCCTACTAAGTCCCATTGTGTTTGAAAGAACTCTGCAACAAATTCATCTATCCCCAAGCATTTATCTTTCTTCATACTGAATATCACATATCTAACTCCATCAGCAGTAACATGAGCACATTGGCCCTGAGCCAACTCCTTGGAAAGCTTATCAGCCAATAATTGCTCCAACATAGGGATATAAATTTTCAGAATCTCCTTATTCTCAACTTCCAGCAGCCCTTCGTAAAATGAAACAACTTCTTGCCCCATCTCTTCGACTATTGTAAGGACTTCCCCTTCAACATTAGTTAATTGTCAAATAGTATATCTTATCTTCTTAATTCTTACTACAGTGTGAAAGAATTTAGTATTAGCATTCCCTGATTAACCCACTTGCATCTAGATTTAGGGATGACAAAAATACCCGTAACCGTGGAAATCTGCCCGAATTCGACCTAATCGGGTAGGGTAAAACCCGAACCCGAACCCGAATATTGCGGGTAATGGGTGGGCATGGTTACCTCACTATCTAACCCGAACCCGTTCGATTATACACATGCATATGTATTTTATCTAAAAATAACCATTATTTTTCTCTAACATATTTTATATTTAGCATATAAATATAATATTTTAATAAAATTGTGTTGTTTTATTTAATTTTCTTCATTATAGTGAATTATTGTCATACTTTTCGTCTCAGATAATGCGAGAATACGTGTGAAAATTTACATATTAGTTGGAGTTATAAAGAGAAACTATTACCCATTGATAACCGTGGATACCTGAAACACGAACGAGTATGGACATGGTTTTTATTTTCTACCCGTTTCTTATGTGGGTATGGGTATGGGTAAAACCCGAACTACTTTGGGTAGGGTAACAGATATGCACTATCCGCCTCGACCCGTTGCCATCACTAGATTTCTGTCTAAGAAACTACTATTCAGCTTTTTGCAACTCTAGAAGTTGGACCATCGCCTCTTTTCTTGGCCAAAAGTCTAAGAGACAGGGTGCTCCAAGGCTTCTATTTGAGCCACAACAAGCTCAACAACAAATTTGGCTCTCTCATGTATATAAGAGAAATGAGTTTCATTTAGCCTACACAATTTCTTTTATCTTCTTCAGCTTTTGATAGACAGAACATATGTGTCCTCGGATACTACACGAATCCAACCTTCCTTAACCAGCTAATCATTAGGCAGGGTGCAATTTCCAACGGCTAAAGTATTTGAAAGACTTTGGTAGGACTGTAACCTGGCACTAGATTTAAGTAAATCCATAATGATCTGAAAGTTCTAGTGGTAGATTCTTAAGCGAGCTATGTGAGTAGTGAGCAAGCCACTCACAACTCACCAAGACTCTTTGTTATAGGATTCACCTGCTGTTTATTAGTCTATGTAAACCAGGATCCTACATGTTATCCTTGGCGAGAAGTGAATCGAGCAGCCCATTTAGTGGGACGAAATGCCTTATGTTATCCTGGCCGAACTTCTATTTTGTATGACTTTTCTTACCTATTACTTGGCTGAGTCCTGGTGAAGGAGTGTCGTAATTGTTGTGGCATTTCCTTGATCTTACCTATAGCATCCACGGGGATTGATCGAAAAAGTGATATATGCATTAAATCGATATCCTTCTCACGACCTAAATTATCTGTTGTTGACATTTATGTATTCGTACCACCACCGTATTGTCGCTCTCAAAATATCACGGTGTGGCCATGGTAACTACATATATGCCAAAAATGTGAAATTAGTTATGTTCGGACGTGAATAAATGTACGAGGATGGAGACTATACATATAATCATATACTTCTTAGTTGCATTTAGATAAGTGTATTTGAAATATATGTATTTAAAAGGCATTTATTTGAAATAGGATAAATTTCGAGTTTGGTAACTGGATTTACAAAAAAAATTATGTTTGTCACTAAAAATATTTTATTTCATTTGTGGTCACTAAGATTAGTTCAACGGTTCAAGTTTGGTCACTCTCCGTTACCTTCCGTCAGTCTCTGTTAACGGATATGCAGTATCCGCCCCCGACCCGACCTGTTCCATCACTAGATTTATGTCTAAGAAACTACTATTCAGCTTTTTACAACTCTAGAAGTTGGACCATCGCCTCTTATCTTAGCCAAAAGTCTAAGAGACAGGGTGCTCCAAGGGTTTTATTTGAGCCACAACAAGCTCAACAACAAATTTGGCTCTCTCATGTATATAAGAGAAATGGGCTTCATTTAGCCTACACAATTTTTCTTTTATCTTCTTCAGCTTTTGATAGACAGAACATTTGTCCCTCGGATACATCATGACTCCAACCTTCCTTAACCAGCTGATCATTAGACAGGGTGCAATTTCCAACGGTTAAAGTATTTGAAAGGCTTTGGTAAGGACTGCAACCTAGCATTAGATTGAAGTAAATCCATAATGATCGGAAAGTTCTGGTGGTAAATTCTTAAGCGATCTATGTGAGTAGTAAGCAATACACTCACAGTTCACCAAGACTCTTTGTTATAGGATTCACCTGCTGTTTATTAGTCCATGTAAACTAGGATCCTACATGTTATCCTTGGCAAGAAGTGAATCGAGCAGCCAATTTGGTGGCACGAAATGCCTTACGTTATCCTGGTCGAACTTCTAGTTTGTATGACTTTTCTTACCTATTACTTGGTTGAGTCCTAGTGAAGGACTGTCGTAATTGTTGTGGCATTTCCTTGATCTTACCTATAGCATCCACGGGGATTGATTGAAAAAGTGATATAAGCATTAAATCGATCCCCTTCTCACGACCTAATTGATTTGTTGTTGATATTTATGTATCCGTGCCACCACCGTATTGTCGCTCTCAAAATATTATGGTGTGGCCATGTTAACTACATATATGCCAAAAATGTGCAATTAGTTTATGTCCGGACGTGAATAAATGTATGAGGACGGTGACGATAAATACAATCATATACTTCTTAGTTGCATTTAGATAGGAGTATTTGAAATGTATGTATTTAAAATGCATTTATTTGAAATAGGATAAATTTCGAGTTTGGTCACTGGAATTACAAAAAAAAAAAAAAAAAAAACGTTTGTCACTAAAAATATGTTATTTCATTTGTGGTCATTAAGTTTAGTTCAATGTTTCAAGTTTGGTCACTTTCCGTTACCTTCCGTCAGTCTCTGTTAATGACACCGATTTTTTACTTACGTGATTAACAAAAGTGTCCAATCAATAAATTTTAACCTGAAAAATTAAACCCAACCTGCCACATCATATAAAAACAACCAAAGATTTGCTGCTACTGATAGAGACATTTTATGAGGGCCTGAAAAAGGGTTAATACCTTATTTTTGCCCGAACTATGACCATATAATCAACTTTGGCCTGTTGTTTGAGAAATTAACATCCTGACCTCAACTATGCAGCATATAGACTCAATTGGCCCGACACATGGTTTGACCGTCAATTTGGACGGTGAACACCGTTGACCGTTAGTCAACACGCCATGTCATTTTCTCGTCAGCCTAAAAATCATTTAAAATTTCAATTTATTTTCCTAATTTCTATTATTTATCATTTTCAAATTAATCAAGAAATAAAATTTACAAAATTTGTAAAAAACTTATTATTTTTTGCTAATTTTAAAATTTATCATTTTCAAATTACCCAAAAATAAAATATAAATTTATTTTTAATTTTTGATAATTTTAATTTTTGGTTAATTTGATAATGATAAATAATGGAAATTAGAAAAATAATTTGAATTTTAATTTTTAATGATTTTTATGCTGAAAAACAATGACAAGACGTGCTGACTAACGGTGAACACTGTCAATTCATGTGTCGGGCCCAATCCGGTGGATTCGCAGTACGGATTGTGATTAGGCGTTTGGGTTAGAGCCCAGAGGATACGCAAAGCTAGAGCCTGCATACAATTATTACTTGGTGGTACAATTAGAGGCCCGGATTTCTGAAGGGACCCATGATATCCAATGTCATGCTAGATGGGCCCTATTTCACCAGAATAAGTATTACTTTTAGGCTGCCAGCCCACTAACTCCTCCAGCCTCCCGCCTCTACTTCTCGTCCCGCTCACCGTTTCCAATTCCAGCGCAGCAGATTTCACGGCTACTTCCCGGCAAACCAAGTTCCCCGCCGGAGATATAAAACGAAAACCAGTCACAGGAATCAAAGGAATGGAGAATGGCCTGATCTCCGTGGACCGTTGGACGGCGGGAAGCCAGGTGTACTTCCTGACGCACCTCCACTCCGACCACACCCAGGGTTTGACCTCCGGCTGGGCTCGAGGCCCGCTCTTCTGCTCCCGCCTCACCGCCAAGCTCTTCCCCACTAGGTTCCCGGACTTCGACCTCACTCTGCTTCGCGTCGTTGATATTGGCGTATGGAATTCAGTTCCTCTCGTCTCCCCTTCATCTGGATCTCGGACAGTTGCTCGAGTAATGGCAATCGATGCTCACCATTGTCCAGGTACGCCCTCTGTTCTTCGTAATTGGAGTTTCGTATTTTTAGGTTATTACTTGTAGCACACCAGGTGTTTGTTTTTTGTCCTTTGAGAATTGGGGGAACATTGGGACATTTTGAACCTGAAATATTTCGATTCGAACGATTTGAGAGCTATTAGGGCAGTAATTTTCCCTTACATCCGTAGATTGTTCAAACTCTTGGAACTTGTGATAGGCTAATAGGATGAAGGAACTGGTTAGCAGGAGCTGTTATGTTCTTATTTCGTGGCGATTTCGGCTGCCTGCTTTACACTGGCGATTTCCGCTGGGAGACAACCGGGGAGAGGGCAAAGATGGCGAGAGCCATGCTTGTCAATGCTCTCAATGGCAGAACAGTCGACAACCTTCACTTGGATAACACATACTGCAACCCGTCTTACGACTTCCCGCCCCGTGAAGTTGCTGCTCAGGAGATTGTCAATCTCATTGCCTCCCATCCTAAACATGATGTTGTCATTGGGATAGACTCCTTGGGGAAAGAAGATCTCTTGCTCCATATTGCACTTTCTCTCGGCATCAAGGTATCTGAAATATTCCACGATTGCTTGTTTAGTTCAGCTTTGAAATTGGATTGGGTTCAGCCTAACTCTGAACTGCTTGTGTTTCCCTGTTGCTGCAAGATTTGGGTATGGCCAGAGCGTTTGCAGACCATGCATATCCTAGGGTTTCACGACACCTTCACAACCAAGACATCGCTAACAAGGGTTCGAGCTGTCCCTCGTTACAGTTTCAGCATTGAGACATTAGAAGCCCTCAATGCAACGCGGCCAACCATAGGGATCATGCCATCCGGTCTCCCATGGGTGGTTAGGCCTGTCAAAGGAGATGCCAATCTCTCCGGTTCTCACTTGACCGCTCGTTACAAGAAAAGGCAGCCTAGTGGGAGTTCCACTGGTGTGGAAAAACTCCATCAGTACATGTATTCAGTTCTGTATTCTGATCACTCGTGCTTTAGTGAGATACAGGAGTTCATGGAGCTAGTCCAGCCGACTATTGTGAAAGGGATTGTGTGTTCGTCGGCTTGTTACGTGGAGCCACTCTACTTCTTCGGCCGTCTCTGTGGAGTGTTTTCTGTGGATAGCCATGTCCAAACGAAGAGAAGAAGTGAACGGGCAGCTGATGTGGAAATTAATAAATCTGCCGCGGAAAGTGGGGTGGAAGCAGTAAGGAAGAAAATGAGATCAAGGGCATATTATGCAGCAGGAGGAGTTAAGGTGAGCAGGACCAGTGTGCTGAGACGGGTAAGCCGGGGTGCCAAAATCATGGACAATGACTCTGCTGACTGAGAACTGGTCACAGTGAATGAAATTCGTATGAATCGTGATAGCCGGTTTACTACGTTTGGCTGGAAATATTTACGGACTGACGACTTGGGCGAACTCTGGTGAGAAGTAAGATTGAACATCCCTTTTCTGTTTCTTACTTGGCTTGTTTGTATGAGAGGTCGTAGAAAACTACTTGGAATGGAAGATAGTGTAGAGTAGAGAGCATAGGCACGTCATAATTGCTTCCATATAATTGGTCTCATTTGGCTAACTATGAGTTTGAAAGGGTTAATTGGTTGTGATAATGGTATTTGATGACCATCAAGTATTTGGTTGGTAGGCCAGGGGGTGATTATTTGATTTGGGAAGATATGATTTGTATTCTACTTTCTTTCTAGTGCCATATCTGATTTCCTAGGGAAAGAAAAGTCGATGGTAACAACTAGAGGCGTCGCATTCTTTGCTCCTTCAAATTTGTCCTAATTGCTTTCTTGCTGCTGGCCTGTTAGCGTCAAGTGACGTGCAATTGGACTGGCAGTGACGCGGGAGGAGGGCCATGTCTCCTGAATGATGGACGAGGGAATTGAAGGCTCAAGTTGGACGAAAGGGAAAGGACAAGTAGAATCTTTTTAAGGGGAAACAAATTAATTGCGGTCATGTACCCAAACCAATAAACAGTGAGAGAAATTGTGGTTTGGGAAATTTGTTACCACCATGCTGAAAATGTCCTCTAACCATGATTGGCATCTTCTTGATGAAATTTTGTGAATCAATGACATTTACATGGATTCAATGAATTGAAAGTTGTTTGTTGTGTCTATTTGGAGGTTACATGTTCGAATTCATTAAGTAACACCTAATATTAAAAATTAATTTATGTCACCTTTATAAACAAAAAAGTATTATGAGCATAATAATCGGGTGATTTTACTGATGAAAGTTTTTTAGATATGCCCAATTGAATGAATTGAAAGTGTAACTTTAATATTTTAAGATGACGATTAATAATTTTCTGCATAAATACTAATTATTATTTTTTAAAAAAATTGAATTAAACAAAAGAGATGGGATTTCCGTTGGAAGCAATTGGAGCAATCTAGATAAATAGGGGAAACATCCTTTTATCACAGTTTCTGCGCTGCAGGTCTGCTACCATACGAGGAAATGGGATTTTGACCAAGTCAGAGACAGAGAAAGATAGCATGCACTTATAAATTATGGAAGTTATTCGTTCATTCAATTTCATTCCTTTGAGTCTTTTCAGGACCATCATTTTTGTTTTGCTTTGAATTCCCATTTTCAAGTTGTCTTGCAATTTATCTATTTGGGTAAAACTAGGGATGACAAGGAGTGTGGATGAAATTAATTTTTCTATATATTATTTTTGAATTACCGTTTTAAAACAATAACCATCTCTGAAATGAAACCTATTCGAAGAAGATGTAAGACGACATACCAAAAAATCTACTTGTGTCTGGTTTGGGAAAACCCATGCACAGCATCCACAAATAATCATATTTAAAGTTATTGATGTAAAGTGAAAATTTTCTTAGAATGTCGATGTTACTAAGATATAGATTATAAGAATGAGGGAAAATGAGAGAATTTTGTCTAAGAGATAATTATTCATTCATTGAAATTAGTGAGTCTAAACTATAGTTGTAGCACATATTTATACTTTTTTTTTTGCTTAAATGGAGGCCGAAGGCCAAGAAAAAGATGTTACAGGCCGATTAAGTGAGGGGAGGAGAATGAGAAACAATACAACGTTCAAAGCTAACACCCATCATATCATCTCTAATAATCGAAGCTAGCCCGGATGGTGGGTGTGCAAGCTCATACATGCCATAGGGATAGACGAGACTGTGCTTCGAGAGCCAGTCCGCAGCTCTATTCCCTTCCCGGTATGTATGAGTGATGCAAACCAACCAGTCTTGACTAAGCTTCCTGCGAATCGCCGCCAGAATCGTGGAGTGAGGGTGAAGTGGATCATGCCTATTCTTGAGTAATTGAATAGCTAACTCCGAATCAGACTGAACCACAATGACGCGATGCCCACTCCTCCAAGCTATGTCCAGTCCATGAAAGAGTGCCCAAAGCTCCGCTAGCGCAGCAGTTGCGTGCCCAATGTTAGCCACAAAAACCACCCAACCAATGTCCAGAGGAGTCTCGCAGTAGACCACCAACTCCTGCATGTCCCGGGTTTCCATTGGAGGCGCCATCAATATTTAAAGCCACCCATCCAAACTGAGGAGCCTTCCAGCTCACCTCGGCTAGAACTCGGTTCAGAGGGTGGTTTCTCGTACCCGGTAGAGCTGCAGCTGCATTCCAGGCTTCGTACCACATCTTTGCCTTAGTCATTATGGAGTGAGCAAGCGAAGGAGGCGTGAGAGCTGAACAACTTCCATGGAACGAAGCTGTTGATCTGTTCTTCCAAAGGAGCCATATTGCAATACTAAAGAAAGACCCAAGGAACTCCATATCTGTCATTAGCCGAATCTGCCAAACTCTGTCGGAGCCAAGAGGATTGATCACAACTAAAGAACATGCCTTGTTTCTGCTGAGGCACATTTCTACTCCAGAAGAAGACTGCAGGGGGGCAGTCTCTAAGGATGTGGAGAATGGTCTCTGGTTGCCCTTGACAACGGGTGCAGAAAGGGTTAGGCGCAATCTTCCTGTGAAAACGAAGAGAGTTGGTGGCGATCTTCCCCAAAAGCACCAACCATATAAAGCTTCTTATCCTCTCAGGGCACGGAAGCTTCCAAATGATCTTCCAAAACCGTCCATCGGGATCCTGCTGCTGTGAGTTGAGAAGGTTATACGCCGATCTCGTCGTAAAACTTCCATCAGAAGAGGCTATCCAAAAGATTTCGTCCTCTTCCACTGAGAGATTATCCACTGCCACACTGGTGATCTTCTGCTGAACATCGATAGGAAGGATGTTGGCGAAGAGATCCGTCTTCCATCGACCCTCTGGGTAATGAAGTCTGCAACCACCTTACCCTCGAGTTCCTCCGGATTGGGCTCACCTCGATATCCTTGAGCGGTACCTGCAACAGCCAAACATCCAACCAAAATTTAGTGTGCCTCCCATTTTTAATATTCGACGCACAACCTTTTCGAAGAAGGTTGCTAGCTTTCGCGAAGCTATTCCAAGTAAAGGAACTTCCCTGAATCGGTCTGAGGATTTCCAAGTGTTCTTTATCCCGTCCATACTTGGAATGCATGACCTGAGCCCAGAGATTCTCTTTCTCTTTTAGGAGGCGCCATCCGTTCTTGGCAAGCATTGATAAGTTAGCTTGTCGGAGAGAGCGAAGACCGGCTCCACCTTGATCTTTAGGGAGAATCATCTTTTCCCAGGCCACCAAATGCATTTTGGATTGGTTCTCGTCGTCCCCCCAAATGAAGTCTCGATTGAGCTTGTCAATGCTTTTACAGACTGCACTCGGGATTAGCTCAGTATTCATATGATAAGTAGGCAAGGCAGAAGAGACTGATCTGACTACAGTAAGGCGGGCTGCAAAGGACAAATGCTTGGCCTTCCATGGTGCAAGCTTCTTCTGGATTCGGAGAAGAAGATGCTGGTATCGCCCTTTAGTGACCCGTCCATGAATAGCTTGAATCCCCAAATACTTTCCAAGCTCCTGGTTAAGGGGAATGCCTGCTCTCTGACTCAGTCTCAAGGCTCTATCCCGTGGAATGTTGGGAGAGACATACATGAGGGATTTGCTATAGTTGATCCTTTGTCCCGAACTGAAGCAAAAATCTTCCAAGCAGGTCTTGATGACCTGAATCTGTCTCGACTTCGCTTCATCAAAGAGCAACAAGTCATCTGCAAAAAAGAGATGGGTGAGAGGAGGGCCATTCTCAGTAAGCTTAATCGCTTTCCAGTTACCATCTGCAACCGCCTTATCAATTTCATTCCTTTGAGTCTTTTCAGGACCATCATTTTTCTTTTGCTTTGAATTCCCATTTTGAAGTTGTCTTGCAATTTATCTATTTGGGTAAAACTAGGGATGACAAGGAGTGTGGATGAAATTAATTTTTCTATATATTATTTTTGAATTACCGTTTTAAAACAATAACCATCTCTGAAATGAAACCTATTCGAAGAAGATGTATGACGACATACCAAAAAATCTACTTGTGTCTGGTTTGGGAAAACCCCATGCACAGCATCCACAAATAATCATATTTAAAGTTATTGATGTAAAGTGAAAATTTTCTTAGAATGTCGATGTTACTAAGATATAGATTATAAGAATGAGGGAAAATGAGAGAATTTTGTCTAAGAGATAATTATAATGCTTGAGTGGTATGAATGCTTGATTCATTGAAATTAGTGAGTCTAAACTATAGTTGTAGTGCATATTTATACTTAAGATACCAAACTCACACCATATCCATTACTCTCTTTATGAGGTTTAAGAAAACTTTCTGAATTACAGTTTAAAACAATAACCATATCTGAAATGAACCTTTTCGAAGATGTAAGACGACATACCAAAAAATATACTTGTGTCTGGTTTGGGAAAAATCCATGCACAGCATCCACAGATAATCATATTTAAAGTTATTGATGTAAAGTGGAAATTTTCTTAGAATGTCGATGTTACTAAGATATAGATTATAAGAATGAGGGAAAATGAGAGAATTTTGTCTAAGAGATAATTATAATGCTTGAGCGATATGAATGCTTGATTCATTGAAATTAGTGAGTCTAAACTATAGTTGTAGCACATATTTATACTTAAAGATACCAAACTCACACCATATCCATTACTCTCTTTACGAGGTTTAAGAAAAATCCATCAAAAAGTCATTTCGATTGAATTTGCTCCTACTAAATAGATTCAATTATGATTGAATGATAGTTTTTTTTTTTTTGGGTAAATGATTGAATGATAGTTTGTTTTCCAGTACAATGCCATTTTACGAACAACGATATTGAAAATGGCAGCAACAAGTTACTGAGACTCTGAGAGGATTTCCAGGCACCACCATTTATTAACCATAAATGC